TTGTGTACTCCTTCTTGTCATGGATCTTAGGTAGCCACACACACTCAGTCCTCTCTAAGAAAGAAGGTATGTGTTAGAATAACAAGGCTTAGTCTAGCCATGAAATGTCTCAGATTGATTTGAATCTAGGGCTGATATTCTCTGGACCTCTGTCCTTGGTAACTATGGAAAATAATTTGCTTTGTCAGAGGAGCTCAAGTTCCTTAAACTCAGGCTTCCTGCCTCCAAACCTGTGAGAAAATCTGTGTTTTTTTCAGTCAACAGGTTGTTTTGCAGTCACACAATTAAAGAATCCAATGCATCACTAAATCCTGTGGAATTCTGATTTGTGAGAAAGTAGTACCTAAGTATTCTGTCCTGCTTTTATATTATAAGGAAAAGAACGTGAACATTTGAACCCCGACTGTCCATGTTCTCCCCTTTCATACTGTGAGAACACATCGGTTTAACTGCAGGATCTTTTGATTTCTAAGACTTGGTTTTCCATCTGCCCATTCTGAATGAGTTATAGTAAAGTAAATTAAGACAGAAAATGTAAAATACAAAAAGCAAACATCAGGAATGTAAGACAACTGTGTAGACACTGGAGGGCCAAGTCACTCATCTTTCATATTCTTTTGTGGTCTTTCATAATCTTGAACTCAGAAATTGGGAGCTTCCTCATCCACATAGTGGCTGACATTTTCATGTTTCTATCTTGCCACTTATAAGTGAGGTTTAAATCTAATGAACTCCAAAATTTAATATTATATACCTGAAAAGTAAATGCATAGTATTTAAATAGAAAATAAAGCAAAATAAAAGTTGACAGCATACTGATTAAAATATATACACAGTTTTCAATAATACTCTTAGTAGAATGCTTAACTTCAATCTTAGATAAGTTCCTTTGGATATAAAAGTTCTTGAATTGCTTTTTAACCACTTGATTTTACACACACACACACACACACACGTATATATTCTCTCCTTCTTTAGTTGAAGTGACCTAGAACTTGCTGGTCTCAAACTCATGATTTCCATTTTCTAATATCCCAGTTCTGAGACTACAGGTGTTCATCCCCACTCCTCGCTATGGCATTCTATTTTTTTTATGTGCTTTGCAAATAATATTGGGTTTATAATTTACCTCTCATGTACACTTATATAATGTCTGAAGATGGACATCTTCAACTAATTTCAATATTGCTGCTGAATTCTAGATCCCTCTAGATATGCATTTCTTATAAAAAGCCTCTTGGCAATGTTGGTCTGCAGCCATGACTTCCAGATGAGATCCTGCTTGCCTTTCTCTTTCCAGTTGCCAAGGTTTAGATCCCTCTTTACTTCAGGCGGTGTGGCAGAATATTTACCAGGTGTCTAGATTTACCTTCATTGTGATATTGAAGGCCCTTTCACCCTAGGTTTAAATTACCAGCCCTCAGGATTTTCACAGAGTGATTTCTGGGCTTCCTGTTGTCTCTCTGGACCACAAGTAGCTCAGAACTGGAGTACAAATGCCTAAGGTGCTTTTATTGATTGGCCTCAGGGTAAGAGTGACTTTGGAGCTGGGAGAATAAAAATTTGGCCCCAGTGGCTGGATAGGTCGCTCAGTGGTTAAGAACACTGACTGTTCTTGCAGAAGACCTGGGTTCGAATCCCAGCAACCACATGGCAGGTAAAAACTGTTCATAACTCCAGTTCCAGGCATCTGATAGCCTCTTTTGACCTCTGTGGGCATTGCATGACATGATGCCCTTACCTACAGGCAATACACATATACCCATAGAATAATAAAATAAAATAAAATTTAAAAAATAAATTAAAAATAAATAAAATTTGGCTCCAAAGGTTTTGCCTCTTCCTTCCCTCTCTCATCTCCTTCCTCTCTTTCATTTGTTCATGGTTTCTCTTCCTCCTCTGGTGTTTCTTCATTTTTTCCTTGTGATTTTCTAGTTTGTTTTATTATCCCTCAAGGTTGTCAATCTGAGATGGCTTTGACAATGTTTCTGCAAAACTCACCTAATTCAAATTGCCTTCAATTTTAAACTAAGCATTCCATCAGAAAATCTAGCAGTTTATTATTGAGAGCTGTTAGCTGATCATTTCCTGCTACTACTTACACTTTCTGTGATGGCACTTTTTGGCTCTTAATTTACATCAGATACTCTCACACCTCACCGCCCAGGCAATTTGTTTCTTCATTTGCTGGTTGCTCTGCATAGGCCACTCCAGGCCCAGCCCAGATACTCAGAATTTATAAACAAAGCCTTTACAAGAAGAACTAAACTGCTTCAGACAGGCAGGAGCGACAAGATGGTGTCACAGGCTCAGATTCTCATGTCCCTGCTGCTCTGGATATCTGGTGAGGAATTTAAGAATTGTAATCCCTTCAGACTCACATCTTTGTAGATAAGAAACTTACAGTCTGCCCAATGGTATAATCTTTCTTAATAATAATATATTGACAAAATATTATAATATGGACATTTACATGACAATTAAACTTCTTTATATTATATACTGTGTTTGTATGTGTGATCCTTGACTATTTGTGATTGCAGGTGCCTGTGGCTCCTAAACTGCTGATGTACTGGGCGTCCACACGGGAGACTGGGGTTCCTGATTGGTTTACTGGCAGTGGGTCTGGGACAGATTTCACTCTCACCATCAGCAGAGTCCGTGCTGAAGACGCAGCAGCTTATTTCTGTCTGCAGGCTTAGGAGTATCCTCCCACAGTGCTTCACACTCGAACACAAACCCCTGAGAGTCTCTCCAGCTGCTTACACTGCCCATAGCCTCAGTTTGCATACTTCCTCAGTCTGCCAAGCAGCCAGCATATCTGACTCATTGATGGGAAAGTATGAGGAACTCAGTAAAAAAAAAAAAAAAAAAGCCCAATGATACTTAGGTCTTTTGGTGTGGAATATTTTATGTCAAATGCAGAAAAGATCTGGGTATTGACTTTGTATTTCTTCTGTAATGATTTTCCACAAATTCTGTTGCTTGAACACAAGCAATTTATATTTTTATAATCCTGGATGTCAGAAACCCAACATAGGACTCCATAGGCTGAAGGATAGATGTTGGCAGACTACATTCTGCTGTGAAAGCTGCAGAAGAGAGTTTGCCTCTTGTTTTCAGTACTTCCAAGTGTTCGTCCTCATTTCTTTAATGGTGTCCATTTCCTCCTTTTATTTTTTAAAGATTAAGTGTTTTCTTATGTTTTTATTTATTCTCTCTGTCTGTCTGTCTCTGTCTCTGTCTCTGTCTCTGTCTCTCTATGTATTTGTGGAGGTATATGTGTGCCATGGCATGTTTGTAGAGGTCAGAGGACAACTTGTGGGACTTGATTATTCTTGATTATTTCCTTCCAACATTTGAGTTCAGTCTAGTGAATTCAGGACTGATACACATCTTGGGGGCAAGTGCTGTTAGTTGTAAGAGCCAACTTACTGGACCTTCTTTATCAGTATATATTCATTTCACATTGATTTCACAAAAGCTGTGTTTTTCAAGTATATCTTATATTCTGATCATATCCATTTAACTTCTCCATTTCCCCTTTTTTTCCTATTACTTGTCCTTCCCCCAGATTCATCACCCACAGACACACAGGCACACAGACATACAGACACACACAGACACAGACACACACACACACACAGAGAGAGAGAGAGAGAGAGAGAGAGAGAGAGAGAGATTATCTACAAAAGAATCCAGGATCCATAAATTAGTCAAAATACAGTATTTGTGGCTGCTACATTTGAGGTCACATTTCTTTCTGAAGTTCATCTGCTTTCCATTGAAAAGCCTCACTCCTCTCTAGTGATGGATCTGATTTCTTGTCAACATACTGTACCTTCCAGTCTTTACATCCCATATCAATTAATAGAATGTAATGTTTGTAGAGAGGAGGCACTTTGTGCTCCCAGAGAAACAACGTGCCAAGTAATCCCATTCAAGTATTCATTTAAAAAACAACTGAGCACCTAATTTAGAGGTATAGCAAGGAACAAGAACAATATATACGAGATAACATGGTCTGAGAGTTTCAAACATGTTCAAGTTGTCTGCCTTGGAATCAACCCTCCTAAATGTGTTTGATGTGACTATGTCTACAGCAGTCAAAGTGTAACCAGCATACAAGGTCTGTGAACAACTAACAGTGAAGAAAACCAAGTGTTTCTGAATGCTGAGAAAAAAAGTGAAATCTCCTACTTGACATTCCTAAGCAGTATGCAAGACAAATAGAAACTAAGAGTGAAAATCCCATTCCAATAAACCTGGGCTTGTTCTGACCCCAAACCACATACAACAGAAAGGGAGTGGACCCTTACTTTGGTACACCTCAGTGCAAGAATTATAGATCACTGACACTCTAATGTGATATAATATCTCTGGAACCCAGCTGAAAGCTGTTGTGTAACACGGATGGAGTTTTTCTTTTGCAAATCCAAGATGCTAAGTCATATCATAGAATTTTCTTATATTCTTGGACTTGTTCTCTGTGATAATCTTCATCAGATTACAGGACCCTGCTCTTGTGCAGTCTCTCTCAAACTCACAGTTCTAAATATCACAGGGTCTGTACATGAAGCATCTAGAGAGAACACACATGAGCAGCAGGGCCCCAGAGCTCACCCACCTATGCCATACTTTGTACTTCTCTCCCCTTGTCCTTACCTGGGTCCAGAACATTAGCACAACCAGAAGCTGAAGAGAAACCTCTTTTTGAGAAGATAAACTAAGGATTCCAGATATGTCCATGAAAGGTTGGAGCTGAACTTTCAAGGGAGATGCCTCCCCAGGGAACAATATGCAAATCTCCTGGTGTGTGAGGTCAAAGGAGAAGATCTGGACAAGCATACGAAGCCCCTAGGGTGAACCAAGTGATATAAATATCTGTTATATTTGAAGGAAAACAAACAAAGATAAAAATTTAGGTTACCTGTATCAGTCTGCAGCAGTCCATGGTGATGTCTGAGATCTGTGGGAAGACAGGATGCACACAGCCCTGACTCTCAAGACGGCACCAGAAATATGGATGTCTGCATGCTGGTGAATCTCTAGGAGGACAAAAGGCACTCTGTTTGGCTCCTTTTCAGCCAATAATGAGAAGAAACTGATCTTATCTCACAACAGATATTAAGAATTATGTTCTCATTAGCAACAGAGAGTAGAGCTACTACTAGAGTTTCTGTTATATCTGATAGCAAGTGAACCACAGGAATGATGCAAACAAACAAATATTAGAAATGTTCTTTTTCTGGACCCAATGATTTAAAGTTCATAAATGTATTCAAAGAAGAGACTATTTTAAGGAGGAAACTAATCTTTTGCCTCTACAGATCCAATAGCATTGTTGAAGAGCTCTTTTGTTCAGGACTCCTTTTAGAAGTATGCATCTGTATATACAGCCTCGATACCTGTGTATATAATACATATATATATATATATGTAACCAAACATTATTATTTTAAGATTTGTTCATTATTTTCATTTTATGTGTGTATGTGTATGCCAATGTGCTTGAATATCCATAGAGACCAGAAGAGTGCACCGGATCCCCTGGAGCTGGTGTTACAGGTGGTTGTTAACTGCTAGATTTGAGTGCTGAGGAAGAAACTCAGGTCACTGGAACTGCAGCAGGTGGTCTTAACCACTCAGCCTCTTTCCAGGTCAAAAGAAAAACCATGCATTTCTTAAGAGTAAAGTTCTGACAGAATGAATTAGGTTAATTTTCTAAAAAGACAGAAATTTTCTATATTCTTTATATATTTCTATATGCTTTGTATCCCAAGCTGACCTCAACTTCATGACACTCCCTCAGCCTCACCTTCCTAAGGGATGGGAATCCAGATATGCACAATTCTATGTAGCTTAACAAAGGAAAATTTTGTATCAAAATTTTATATTAATTATTGAAAATCCTTCAGTGTCTACTCTGCGTGGATATTGGGCCATCCCAGTCACTCATTTGTGTTCAAAAGAAGATTCTATGTATTACAATAGCAAGGTTGATTTCAGCCTTGCAATGTCTCAGGATGATTTGAATCTAAACCTGACATTCCCTGGGTCCCCCAATCTTCTTGGTAACTACAGAATTGAGTGCTGTTTCAGAGGCACTCAAGGTGGTCAAGTTCAGTCTTTTTTCCTCCTAAGATGTGAGAGAACATTCTGTGTTGTTTTCAGCCAACAGATCTGTGATCATTGATAAACCCAGACCAAGTAATCTTATAAACCACAGCATGTTGTGGAAACTTTATTTGCTTCAAAAGTACTAACAGTATTCTCTATTGTTTTTTTAATTATGCTTAAAAGACTGTGGACAATTATCTTTGTAATGTCCATGTTCTCTCCTTACATATTTGTTTGGAAACTGTGGTGTTAGCGTTGTAGTCCTCCATGTCCAGATAGGGGCTAGGCGCCATATGGAAGGACGCCCCTTCTCAGCAGGGGGCCTCCTGCTCTCTTCCTGACTTACCTGGAAAGTGCAGCCAAGCATGGATGCCTGACCTTATTTGGAACATGACCTTTGGCATAGTTACCTGGAGTAAAAACTACCCCCAGGTTTTTTTCTATATGATAATTAGGCATTTTGGGATAGTCGGA